CCACGACCCCCGGCTGGAACACTTCCATGCAAGTTGGCGCCAGCACGTGCAACTCTTCCCTCGTGTTGCGCAGTCTGGGTACATATCGGCTCCTCCTCCGGCTCCTTGGCAACCGCCTTCTTCGTCTTCACGAGCCGGCGATACCGCTCTCGCTGCATAGCGTTTTGGTGGTCGCGATGGTCGTTGCACAACCAGTGCAGCGCGCCGTTTGCTTTGACGGCTCGCGCCTGAATGCACCCTCCTGGATGCTGGCACTGCTCAGGGTCGAGCAGGTGAGGGGACGTCCTTCCGCGGCGACCGGGCTCCTTTGGCATCTTCTGCAAACGATCGGTAGCATAGCTCAGTCTGTGTCGACAGCAGGTCACCTCGTAGCGCAGTAGCACACGCTTACCTTGGTAGGAGAAGAGGGCAGCGATTGACTTGGCCTTCCCTTTGATTGTCACGCTATGATTCCAAACGGTCGCAGTATGACTTCAACCTATACAAAAGAATATTATGCTCGATGGGGGGTAATGCCGAAGCGATTTTGACAAAAATTAATTTCAGCTTGCCCCCTTAGCAACCGTGGCGAGTAGTCGCCTGAGGATGCTGGCAGCAGTATGCTGCCATACTAGTTCTAGGTTATAATCTACTTATACCTAAACTTTTCTAACTAGCATCACCCACAGCTAATGTCGCACTTAAGGTAATCTAGAGCTCCGTGGGATATGAGATCCTAATAGCCATAGCTTTTGGCGCGTTGCGGTAGATATGCTCTTATTAGCCTAAACAAATTGAATAATTCGTGACGAAACAAGGTGCAATTTTTACTTGGGAACATCAAATATAAAAAAATAAGTGTTTTGAGATGTTGGAATTCGCTAACCTCTTTTTGAAAGATACGTGACTTCATTAACGCTAGGTTTTAGTCTTCACAGACTGTACTGCACTTACGTGAAAGCGAAACCGTACACTAGTATATCTTGGCGTGGTATACGCTCTTTTGCTTCGCTGGGAGGTATATATCCCAGCCATCGCTTGGGAATACAGATCGGCGTGTACATTCGATATCGATTGTCCGCGGTTAGACGCGTTTCTGGGAATGTACCACACATAATCAGCAAACTCTACTCCGAGTACCCTCACTGAGCAGCTTCTTCAGTCGATATAAGGCGAGCGCCTTCAAACTGGCAGCAAATTTGCATCATTAGCGTTATCATATTTTTATATTGTAGTAGTTGTCACGAAGGGTTGTATTTTTTTGCCGGAAAGTCTTATTCTAATCGCCCACAAAATACACAATGTCGGTCGTGTTGTTGAGTTGAGCGCGTTGTGGTTTTCTTTGTAATGCATCTTGACATATAATAAAATAATTTGGTCAAAACCTAGTAAGATTACAACTTGTTGGGTTAGTGGTGATCTTCATCTACTGCAAACGCAAGCGAGTTTACTACCCCCAGCAGACTGCAAGCATCCTACTGGACATTCTAGCACCTAGATATTCCTTTGGTGTGGTGCTGGCGTAATACGGAGTTGGTCCTCGTTACGACGGTAACTTCTGTCCATGCAATCATCCTACAGGAAATCCTAGTATAGTGGCTCTTTAGTCTTTTTGTTCGTCCGCGGAGATCTTGACTGGATGCGTCGTCTGGACCATATACTGAAAACTCGGATGCAAATGAAACTGGACGAGCGCGCTAGGGCTCACTGGTTATTCCTGGGTTTTTGACTGCGAAGATGTCTGCTGAACTGAGCGAATCCAAGCAGAAAGTGTCTTGTTCTGACTGGGTCTCTAGGTGGATGATAGAAGACTACTCCACTTCAGTCGCCACATGGCCAGAATTCACAGTTGTAACGAGGACCAACTCTGTATTGTTCCAGCACCACAGTTTAAGAAAATATTTAGGTGCTTGACCAGAATTTACGGTCGAAACGATGACCAACTCCGTATTACGCCAGCACCACAGTTTAAATCAGGTGTTAGAATTTCCAGTAGGACGATTGCATGGTCACTACTCACGGTCGAAGTCCATATTAGTATTGCGCCAACATCACAATTTACCCATGTACAAAACCTTTATAACAGAACGTAAAATCTAGTGATGGCATTAGCACACTTAGTATATCTGTGCTTTAGCTCCAAGTTAATGTAATTTTTTTTACATTAATTATGAACTAATTTAAAAAAAATAGTTATACGTATACGCTAATTGGCCTACAAACGTTTAATTAGACGTGCTTTAAACCTACTTCATCAATCGACAGAGTAGTTTATTAAGCTAGAATCGTCTTGAACTGGTCGGAGAGGGTGGTTACATCTACATATATGAATGAAGTGTAATACGTGTATATTATGTTTCTTAATCTTACGCTTTGAGAACAGGACAGCGAACTCTCGATGAGATCGCGAACGGGCCCCAAATTTTGAATTTCATTT